ATGTGTGCTCGGCTGTCGCTTATCAGCTTAAGTTGTTGTTGAAGAGCCTTCAGTTATTGCTGCTGAAGGTGTATTCATTTGTGGTTGTTGTCGGTGAATGTGTCTTCAACTGTCGCTAAAAGTGAACTTCCAGCTTTTTTCTGAGTTTGCTGGAAATAGAAGTTTAGATTCGGTTGTAACTGCTTTTTGATCTTATTCATTAAAGGTTATAACCGTTAAACCACCAATAAACCGCAAATAACCGTCAATCTCTCATTTAAATATGTAAGACGAGAATCTAGGTATAAAAATCTTGATTTTCACAGCCTTTGAAAAAGAAAGAATAACCTGAAAATTTATCCCAATACAAAATCCGTGAACCCAAGGCTAATAGGATTGAATTATTGTATTCGGAAATTGCTTTCTGATACGATTCTTGAGTTTTATCCAATCCCTATATCTCATCCAAAATACAGTCCCTAACACTTTTCAAATTAAATTGTTTCTCTCCTACCTTTCCTCTCCTTCCTTCATATTAGAATATACTTCACAAGCCTCTCCCATTCTCGAATCTACACATAACTCACCCATTATATCATCATCACTACTTGCAAGATTTTTCATCCCGTCTTGCTATCCCCTACCACATGATCCTTTTGATTGTCCCCTAATCATATTCCAAAAAGCACAAAACAAAAATTGTACATTGAAAATAAGGATTTCATCTTAATTTAGTGCTTTAATTTACTCTCTTCAAAAAGTGTAGGAAAGTTGAAGGCAAGTAGCTCTCATGTATAGGTCTTTATCCGATAATCTCATTGCAAACGTTTCTCAGCCAAGGTTTTTTTATAACACCTCCACATGCACATTTTCGGCAAGAGCAATGAAGCCTAAATGTGAGAGTTCCCAAAATGACTTCAACCTTCAATTCTTAGTTGTATTCAAGATTCATTATATCTCATCGAATTAATTTGCAATATCCTAGGACTATTACTATGTTGAGGCTTTCACAAGGTACCATCAATGAAACCATATATATTTTTGATAAACAAAGCATTGGGGATAGCTCGAATCCATGAGCAATAATTTTCTCCAATTAATGGTTTATAAACCAGTACTAAAACTAGATTGTCGGAAACTGGAATGATACAAAGTATGGATGGCGACGATCATCAATGGTGGAGACTGTTGGATTAGGTGGTGTTCTACAACAGGCATGTTGAATTAGACATTAAATGAAGATCGTTTGATAAATTAGCATATGAGATGAATCAAATTTGAACTGAATATCACTAGATAAATAAGTTGACCAGAAGCCACTTGGCTACATCTGCCCCTATTGTTGGTCCCCAAGGGTCTACAAGAATACTAAACAGTTTGTAGAAGGGGGGGGGGNAAATCCGTCGCTGATATCCGTCGCTGATCCGTCGCTGATAGCATTACCTACGACTAATTGATCGACGGAGTATCAGCGACGGATCAGCGACGGATTGACTTTCAGCGACGGATTTGCGAGGGATTTTTCCGTCGCTGATAGTCTGCATTTTTGTAGTGTACGTCTACGTTGTCATATATTTGTAGTTCAAGCATAAGAGGAAAAAATCGAAGAGTTCAGGAGGTGGGAGGAGGCTCCGGAGGCGAGGGAACAAGAAAGGTAGACGACAAAAAAAACAAGGAATAAGAAGATGGATGACATGAGGGAATTGGCCGAGAAGTTCACACGGTCGCATTTTTTCATCGGGTGGTCTGCAATGAGAATGGTTTGTTGGACATTGTTTACCAAACATTTATTTTAACTAGAAGGGTACCCGCACAATGCAGTGATATAAATCCTAATTTTAATGTTTAATTTTTATTTTTTGTCACTATCGATATAATACGATTTTATATGGTTTTGAGAAAACGATAATGTTTTTATTTTTGATTTAATAATATAATTTTTTATAAGGATAATAATAAAGTATTTTATTGGAACTCAATAATTATTCTAATTATATTTTAAATTTTTTATATTTAAAATGGATGTATATCTACAGTTAGTTACACGAATTTAAAAATGGAGCTTTAATAAGTTGTACTTACGCAAAATTACTTGTAATATTGAATTTTAAGTAATATGCATCAATAAACGGTATTTCATGCATAAAAAATGATTTTTAAGAGTTTTTGTCAAATGTTTTATAATATAGTATAGATTTGTAATTTGTATTTTTAACCGGATATTCATCGTTTTGTTTTCAATGTATGATAATTAACGTTTTCATTTGTCTCGTTTACATTTTCTGTATATTTTTATAAATTACAGGAAAATAAATTGAAAAAACAAAAAATATATTTTTAAATAATGCACATAAACAAACGGATTAGTGGGTGATTATTCGCTAATAAACATTTGCCAAATTACTATTCAGAGAAATAAAAAAATAGATCTTTCCAGGTAATTTATTTTCATTCAGCACGGACTACCGACAATCGCTAATTTCATTTAATTATTTTATTAAATAATTAATTAAATAAATCAACGGAGGATCAGCGACAGATATAAACGCCACTGATTTAATCCGCCGTTTTTAAGTCTTAATGAAAATGTAATTAAATTGGAAGTAAATTAGCGGCGTTTTTAGTGGCGGACGGGTGATGCTTTTTGAGACAACGTGAATTACCCGCCGCTGATGATTTTTACCGGTGGATTATGGACGGATTCGTTAGTGAAGTTAAAGTCTGTCGTTTGTTATTTTCTCTACAAAATTTGTAACCGGTAAAACTAAAATGAATTACGTCTTTATTTTTAAAATATAATATATATATATATATATATTTGTCACGAAGGTCTCCCAATTAATATGCTTCTTGTTTTACGTTTTAAAGATACGGGCATATGCTGATTAAGTCAAACTAGATTGTTGTGATCTAGGCCTCATCGGTATCGGTAGGTGTGGTCTCAATTTTTAACAATTCGTCATATTCAATGTGTCTTTATTTTATTTTATTTATAATTTGTTTGATATTACACAATTTCTTTTATTCAGATGGACTCCGTGGTGGAAAGTTTAAGTTCGAAAGATGTCACGACATAAAAAAGTTGTCGTCTGAAGATTTTCAGCCAAATTTGCTACGCTGATCTTGATTGTCATTAAGACGATAGAATGTTTTGACATGTATTAGAGATGTTTTTTTTATTAACCTGGATATCCAACCCGCTATGCGAGCCGACTAATCCCAAGATGACCGTCTGCTTTGCAGATAACTCGGAGTCATCGCATTTGAACCTCCGTGACCACAAGAAGATTTTTATTCCTCCTTGGATTTGAACTTTGGACCTCCTAGTACTTTTGACTTTTGGAGCCAAACTCAAACCAATCAGGCATTATAGCTGTTTTTTGATTTCCATCGTGAGCATCAAAATCTTTAGAACCAGCAATTTCCATTATTAATAATTAATTAAAAGAAACAATTTCCATTTAATTAATAATTGATACTTAATGTGTTCACCATTAACAAAGTTCCATCCATCCATCCCTATAACATAATTGGATTATACCACGTCATTAATTATTGGATTTCTTAATACACTATTTTATAAGACTTAATTTATAGAACTAAAAACGTCTTATATATAAAGACATTATAATAAGTTTACATGACATTTTTTTGGCGTCTTAACAAGTTTTTTAGGACACTTTTAATACAATGTTGTCGCATTAGCAATTTTATATGACACGCCTATAAAAACAAATGTCCTATAAAAAGATGGGTTTATAAGACACCTTTTATATAATTGTTAATGTGACGCTTTGTATTAAAAGTATCCTAAAAAACTTGTTAGAACGTCCAAAAACGTTCTGTAAACTAGTACAACGCCTTTAGATATGATGTAAAATTGTTAATGTGACGTTTTAAACTTGTTAGGACGTCTAAAAGCGTTTTATAAACTAGTACAACGCTTTTAGATATAATATAAAATTGGTAATGTGATGTTTTGTATTAAAAATATCCTAAAAAAACTTGTTAGGACGTCTAAAAGCATCATATACAGTATGTCGCCTTTAAGTAAGACGCTTAAAATAACAATTTTATTGGACTAAATTAACATTTTTAAGTGTAAAAAGATTGAGAGAGTAGAATTTTATTTCTTTTGCAACTCGAATTAATAAAACCACAAGACTTCTCTCAAGATCCCAAAATGTCTCTCAAAATGAGAAAGTGAATATTGCAACATAATTAAACAAAAATAACAATTAATATAATTAAGTTATTAATTACTAAAAACATATACATTAACCACAAGGGTGGTGTCTGATTTGTTTGAACTTGGATCCAAAGGTCAAAAGTACTAGGAGGTCTCAGTTCAAATCCAAGGAGGAATAAAAATCTCTTTGTGGCCACGGAGGTTCAAATGCGGTGACTCCGAACTATTTGTAAAGCAAGTGATCGTCTTGGGATTAGTCATCTCGCATAGCGGATAAGATATCCAGCTTAATAAAAAAAAACATATACATTACCAGTGGAGGGTTAAGTTCCTATGAAGAAAAAAAAATTACGGTGAGAAGCGTAAGAATAGACGTCCACCTTTAAATCAATCATAATTGAATGTCAACACTAATAACATGCACCTATCAACTTTTTTTTAAAGCACAGTTCATGGTTACGTGAGCATGAAATAAAAGTGATCAAGGGTTCATATCTCTTCTTAGTGGAACCCTCGTATAACGACGAGTGTTCTCCTTAAGTACACCAAATTAAACCAGTTTGCTGGTCGACTTTACGGGACGATTGGAGCATCGATCAGATTGAGCATTTTGCAGAATCATTCGATATGCTCTTAGGAAACGATTTCGATGGTCTTATCGTTTGAGCCGTCTTCAAAAACAAGCTTCCACTCACTACCATTTCATAACAGCAAAAGATCGAAAGGATACAACTTTGTTGTCTTCTGAATCTCGAGTCAATAAAAGCACAAAGTTTCCTCTCTCTCTCTCTCTCTCTCTCTCTCTCTACTCTCTCTCTATCAAACAAGAACGATGGTTTCTGTATCACAACCCAGGCTTCCTGTAATCAACATGGACGATTTGCAGGTGGGAAGTGAAGGTTGGATGGTGACATGCGAGAAGGTGACACGTGCCCTTGAAGAGTATGGCTGTTTCATGGCGATATATGAAAGGGTTTCTAAAGAGCTGAACAAGGAGGTGTTTGATTCATTAGAAACCCTATTTGAGCTTCCCACAGAAACCAAGATCAAGAACACTTCTGATACGCCTTTTTATGGCTATTTGGGTCCGAATCATACTCGTCCACTTTTTGAAAGTTTGGGAATCGAGAATGCTACAAGTTTTGATCATGTTCAACACTTTGCAAACCGTATGTGGCCTTCCGGAAACCGCGATTTCAGGTACTTACGGTTACGTTTGGTCGTTAGTTAAGGTCGGATTCTGCCATTGTGTCGAGCAGATGCACCTATAAGGTGCACAAAGGCCTCGTAAAGTAGTGTCGGTTTGATACTGTGTGGAATAGTAAAAACAGTTTGACCCGGAAAAAGTCAATTGTGTCGATTCGGGGAATAAAATACATTTTTCCCAATGGAATCGATCTTTTGAGGAAGATACTCGATGTTCTTTTAGCGGAATTCCATTCTTTTAGCCAAATTCCATTTTTTTTCAATCGATCTTTTGAGGAAGACACATGCAAGACTACATCTTAGGTGTAAACCCGATGTTCTTTTAGCCGAATTCCATTGCTTCCAGAGATTTTTTTTCCGGTTTTTGGATTGATTTCGATGGACTTTTTGGTTTTGTAGTTGATCGTGACATGGGTTTTTCGGTTTTTTGGTTGATTTCGAGAAACTTTTTTGGTTTTTGGTTGATGTCCTTGTATTTTATGTATAAAATCCTAGAGCACCCCTCAAAGTTTAACGTGTGCACCTTTCATACCCCAAAAAAAGTTTGTACTTGCGAAAATCGGTTGAGCTGATGCATGGAACCCCATAGGTCCTGCGTCGATTCGACCGTGCATGAGAAATAACAAGTTCTATTGACAAATTTCTGACAAAGTCATAGAACACAAAAAGTAAAACTTATTAGGTTAAACCACAAGGGAGGGTGGTGCCTGATTGGTTTGAGCCTGACTCCAAAGGTCAAAAATACTAGGAGGTTCCAGGTTCAAATCCAAGGAAAAACAAAAATCCCCTGGCCGCGGAGGTTCGAATGCGGTGACTCCGGGATATCTGCAAAGCAGGTGGTCGTCCTGGGATTAGTCAGCCTGCATAGCTGGTTGGATATCCAGATTAATAAAAAAAAACTTATTAAGTTAAACAAAAAAAATGTCATGTTTGTCTTTCATATATACGACACATATAAAACTGTTAAGAGCATCCACAATGGTGCTTATTTAAAACGTTTTGGAAACTTATCGGCCCACATGACCTCAATAAAACAAAAACAAAAAACACATTTTTGCTTGCACAGTTACAGACAAGGTTTTATGGGTCCCACTTTTTTTTTTACGAAACTCGCTCAGAAAGCGTCCCATTCTAAAGATGCTCAAATAGGACGATTTAATTTCTAGTATCATTATTAGGTTGTCCAACTAAAATTCGTACATATAGAACTTGTTAGGTTACATATTGTCAGTAAGTATTTATAATTCTATTTTACTGTATATTTTTCAGTGAAAATATAAATTCCTATGCGAATCTGGTCTCGGAACTGGAAGCTATGGTGAAGCGAATGGTGTTTCAAAGCTATGGAGTAGAGAAATATTACGAATCCTATAACAGATCATCAATGACCTATCTTCTTAGAGTAAATAAATACAAACCTGCAAAAACAGGCGAGTCAAACGTAGCAACGACAGCGATTCATACAGATAAGAGCTTCTTTACCATACTTAGCCAAAACCACGTGAACGGGTTGGAAGTTCAAACCAAGGATGACAAGTGGGTAACTGTTGAATTCTTACCCTCGTCCTTCGTTGTCATGGCAAGCGATATATTCATGGTAACGTTACTGTATTATCTACTATGTTAATTTCAAAATTTATGACAAAACAAGTACTGTAAATGAAATTGGCAACAAATATATATATATATATATATATATATATATATTTGATAAAATCTGGTTTATAGGACGCCAAAATGTCTAAAATTGGTTTTATAAGACTTAAGTTTATAGAACCAAACAATTATGTGTCATATGGAAAACTATTACAATAAGATTTTATCACGTTTTGGGAATTTAACAAGTCTTTTTTAGACATTCTTGAAATAAAGTGTCTTATTAGCTTTTTTGTATGACAATTTTGAGAAGTCTCTTGTAAACGTATCTTCTTATAGGATTTAGGTTTTTACAATAAACTTTTTCAAATAATATCATATAATAATACGACGTTTTTTCTTTCAAATTGTCTTCCAAAACTTGTTAAGACGCTCAAAAGCATCGTCATTAGATATAAGTTAAGAAGCACTTTAAATAAGCAGTCCCAAGCACCCCTAATTTTAGAGAATCTGTAGAAAAATGTTATTATGTGTATTTTGTGTTTCTGTAAGTAGGCATGGAGCAATGGCCGATTGAGAAGTACTCGTCATCGAGTGATGATGAACGGGCAAGAAGACAGATACTCGATAGCTTTATTCACGTTTAAGAAAGGGATTACAGAAATACCAGAAGAACTTGTTGACGAAGAACATCCATTAAGATTCAAGCCGTTCAATCATCTCGAGTTTATTGGTCATCATTCTAAATCTCCACTTTACGTGGATGAGAGAGCCATAAAAGTGTTTTGTGGAGTTTGAGACACTCCCGAGACCAAAGAAAATGCGTTTTACTTCAATAATACGATACATGGTATGATAAAGGGATCGGTTCAATTAAGAAGGGTAGATATCTTGAAAAGCTTAATGGAAGATTCATATGTGAATCATTGAAAAAATTCAAAGAAACCTATTTGAAGAAGCATATGTGAACCGACGTTATAGATTATTCGTATGAATCACATGTGCATATTCAAATGAATTTTTTCATTGATTCACATGTCTTTTATTCTTATCTTCTAATGATATTTAACCTTCTTATTTGAACCTTCCACTAAGTATAATAATGTATTCACGTATACTGAAAATAAGATCCAATCCATGTTATCCGTACTTGTTTGTAACTTTATGGAATTAATTAATAAAAATTATTATTTTTGGAGTGAGTTTTATTTTTAATTAAAGAGATATATGGTTTTAATGGACCGTTTACCTAAATGTTTACCCGGTAAGTGTTTATCATTAGAAGTCAACACTGTAATTTATTTACCCGGTAAGCGCTTACCTTGGTAAGAGTTATCACTCTTACTTACCGAGTAAGACTCTTCATCTTCATCATTGCTCTTACCGAGTAAGATTTTTTACCCTTGTCATGTTTATCCGGTAAGAAAAATTACTTAGTAAGCGCTTACCAGATAAACATTTAGTAAACGGCCCCTAAGTGTTGAAAATTTATGTTGAACAGAACTGCGACCAAACTCGCATGGTTTAGTCTTTGTAGATTCACGACCTTAGGTTGCATTCCAAGATCCATAAGACTTTTCCAACACTGTACATGGCTTTTTGTGGAACTTGCATGTAACACCCTCATTTTTATCGTGAGTTGTGCCATATTATCCTCATTAAATAACATTAAATAACCCAAACATAACGGGTAATAAAACCCTGATATAACGAAAGTCTTCAAAATATAAATGCAAATAGTAACTCAACGCTCACCCATCGTATACCGAGTTATGTTACAAAATATGTTCAGATATAAAGTCTAACCATCCGAGAATATGATACTTACTCAATAGAAATATAACTCACTAGGAAATACCCTTCCTCTTGTCTACCCTTAAACCTCATGCTCATGAGATGCATACTAATAGCCAGCTTTATAGAGCTTGGCGAGTTCAGGGTTTTCGTGCACGAATCATACATAATAACAAATAAATACCCTAATAATATGCAAACTTGTTTCAAAAACCCCTTTGAAATAATTACCAAATATCATAAATTGTCCCATACTTAAAGGTTCCATTATCACCGGCATTCTCCGGGTTTACGGCTCACCCTTGTCCGTCCACCCAGAACAGCCATCCATGTGATTCAAGGGGACGGTGTCGGATTGCATGGGATGAAGTTTGCAAACCGACTCCACGTGGCGACTTGGGTTTAAAGAAATTGTCTTTATGGAACCGTACTTTGATAACGAAACATATATGGGATATCCTTTCGCGTAGGAACTCTTTATACGTGAGGTGGGTATGCTTACATGTTTTGCATTCGGAATCTTTTTGGCTGATTCGGAAGAGGAAGGCGTGGTCTTGGCTGATTCGGAATGTTTATAAGTAAATTTTGCATAAGTACAACTTATTAAGCTCCATATTTGAATTCGTGTGTTTAGTAGATAAATATAATCAAATACATAATACAATTGTCATTTTAAATATATTTAAAATATAATTAGAATAATTATTGAGTTATAACAGAATAGTTAGTTATTATCTTTATAAAAATTATATTATTAAACCAAAAAACAAATTACTTCGTCATTAAACTTAAATTCAATTATAATATGTATTATCTTATAAAGCATTTGGCTAAAACTCTTAAACTCGTTCATCCCTAAACGATTTCATTCYTATCCGATTTCATCCTATATCTGAATTCGTGTAACTAACTGCAGATAAACACAATCAAATACAGGATAAACATCTCATTTTAAATATAAAAAATCTAAACTATAATTAGTATAATCATTAAATTCTAACAGAATACTTAATTATTATCTTTATAAAATTTATAATATTAAACCGAAAATAAATTGTTTTATTATTAAACTTAAATTAAATTATATAAAAAAATATATTCTATATTATAAATCATTTGACAAAAACTCTTAAAAACCACTTTTTATGCGTAAAGTACTGTTTATTAATGCATATTACTTAAAACTCAATATTACAAGTAAATT